AAACAGAAACACTAAATCTATTGGAAGACAAATTGGGTAAAAACCTTGAAGACATAGGAGTAGGTAAAGAATTCATGAACAGGTCTCAAACCGCATGGGAAATACTTCCCAGAGTCAATAACTGGTATCGCCTCTTATTAAAAAGTTTCTGCACGTCAAAAGAAATCTCCAGCATACTGAAAAGAAAACTCACAAACTGGGAAAAAATCTTAGTGAACTTCCCCTCAGACAAAGGACTTCTGTCTAAAACATATAAAGAATTTTAAAAAATCAGACCCCCAAAATTCAAAGACCCAATCCAAAAATGGGCATCTGAGATGAATAAACAATTTTCAGATGAAGAAATACAAATGGCAAATAAATACATGAAAAAATGTTCACCATCACTGGTCATTAGAGAAATGCAAAGTAAAACCATACTGAGATTTCATCTCACTCCTGAAAGAATGGCCAAGATCAAGAAAACCACCAACAACAAATGCTGGAGAGGCTGTGGGGAAAAAGGAACTCTCCTGCACTGTTGGTGAGAGTGTAGACTAGTACAACCATTGTGTAGGTCAGTCTGGAGATTTCTCAAAAAGCTGGGACTGGAAGCCCCATTTGACCCAGCTATTCCACTTCTAGGCTTATTCCCAGAAGAACTGAAAGCATCATACCACAGTCATTATGTGCACCCATGTTTATAGCAGCACAATTTGTAATAGCCAGATCTTGGAAACAAACTAAGTGTCCATCAACTGAGGAAAGGATAAAAAAGTTGTGGTATTTTTATACAATGGAGTACTACTCAACTATAAAGAATGATCACATTGAGATATTTATAAATAAATGGACCCAGCTTGAGACCATACTCATAAGTGAAATAAATCAAACTCATATGTATCAATACCAAATAGTTTCCCTAGTGTAAGAAATGATAAGAATAGATAAAAGTATGTGGTAATCATGATTCCCAATCATATTGGTTTGAATCCATATAATGTTATCACTCATTAATTGCAATGGTTTTAACCTGGGTTGTTCGATTTTAGTATCAGTGATAGTACGAATAGCTATTCTGAAGAAAACAACACATCATAAAAGCTAGTGCTGATTTAATATCATCTTGTTTTGAAGTCCCATCAAGCTGTTGTACATCTGTTTCCACTGGTTTTAACATGTGGTATCTTACTATATTTTACTATATGCGATAGTATAAACAAAATTTTTTATAGGCAAAGAGATAATATAGAAACCATTGTTCATTTTCTGTTAACTGGTTCTAAATACCCTGTAATTTCTTCATTCTCTTGAATAGCTTCAGACTGCCTTGATATGCTTGATGCTATAATATATGAAGTTATACTCAAATAATTCAAGGAAGGAGGCACTAGGGTGACTACTATTATGTTAGATTATCTGGGGTATACACAGGGTATACAATTTAAGCATACACAATGATGCTTAAATTGCTTGGTTCTGACCTGTGTTGTTCTAATACAATGTCCTCTTTTACCTCAATCCCACCCTTTTTAAAAATTAATCTATTTTTTTCTTACATTTTTTTTCAATTAAGGGAAAACTAAATTAAAAAATAACGGGATATATTATAGTAACTTTTTTGTTTTCCTATTAACCTGACATGAACCCCAGTATTGCTCTCCCCATCTTGTTCTGTCAGATTTTACTATATTCTGTTTTGTTTGATAGTATCAAGTTTGAGGGTATAGGCAACCACTTTGAAGGCAATAAGATTCACTAAGATGCCCATTATGATTTGACTATTATCTTCTTTTGAAATCCTGTAAGGTCTCCAGTGAAGGTTTTATTGGTCTTGTTCTGTACTGTTTTGATCAATTCTATTATACCTGACGATATAGGCAACTTTTTAAAAAAATAGCAAGAGGCACAATGGTAACCATTTTAGATCACCTGATATTCTATTTTTACATAATGTACTATGCCCATCCTTTTGTTCTAACCGACTCTGTTTTGTTTAGCCACGTTAGGTTTTATTCTCTCCAAAAAAATAATAAGAATTGTGGGAGTAAAAAAACCCAAAAAGCGTAATTGTTATTAAAAAGAGAGGAAAGGAAGGTGGTCTAAGGGATATAACTGCATGTATGTTTGAGTGTGTAGGATGGAAATCCATATTACTGAACTTTTGTTGGATCATTGATTGGCACTGTCTGCAATCTCATTGTATGAATGTTCCCTTTACATGCTTTAATTTTATAATTTGGACAACTATTTCAAAGATGACAATATGTAACCTATCTTACTGTATTTTTTTCCTTGAAATTCTGTATTATTTGTACCCTTTTACTGCTTTTTTATTTTTTATTTTATTTCCTTTCTTTTTTTCCCCTTTAAATAAAAAAAAAAAAAGAAACTGTCAAATGGTCTTCTAAAATGGCTATCCCATTTTGCATTCCCACCATGAATTAGATTTTCTGTTCTTTCACACCTTCACCAGTGTATTTACAATATCACACACACACACACACACACACACACATATACAATAATACATATATATTTTGTGTATATATAGTTTGTATATATATTTACAATATACTATATATATGTATATGTATGAAGGTAGAAAAGAAATGCATTCTCTGCAGAGTGAGAGCAGGCCAGTGATCAGACTTACAGTGGCCACAAGGATAAAGGAAAAGGTCTTTGTGTCTGGAATTCCTGGACTGACTTCTCCCTCATGCAAATCAGGTATTGGGTTGGCTGCCCTCTGGAAAACTCTTTTGGCCTGGTGCTGTATTTAAATTGTCCTATGGAAGACTACTTGGTTTTATGTCATATGTAAAGAAGAATTGAAAGTGGCACTCTTCTGATTGGTCCCACATAGAGTGGTCAGAAACTGCAGAATCATCCTGCATCCTGTGCTCTATGGGTAGGCTTGCCTGAGTCACCATGATTTTAACAGAAACCAGTTGTTTGACTGGATTTGTCCCAGCCTTAATCTTCTACCTGACTCTGAGTTCGTGACCTAATCTGATGAACTTTTATCATTTGTTGGAAGACCAGTCTACCGGCAACAAATTCTCCCATTTTTGTTTGAGAAAACAAAGTTTACTTCTGTCTCCCTTTTGAATGACAATTTGGGTGGGTACAAAAATTCTAGGTCAGGATTTTTTTTCCCATTTATTTAATTTTACTCTGTTTTTGTTTAAATTATTTTAAAGAAGTTATTCGTAATTCTGGTATTTCTCCTAACCCGGCTTCTTTCATGATTTTATCTTTGATCCTTCTGAACTTTGAATATAATGATATGCTTAGGTATTGTTTTGGGAGGCATCTATCATGCATGGCATTTTCTGATCTGTAGCTTTGTTTCTGACATTAATTTGGGGAAATTCTCTGTCACGGTTATTTCAAATACTACTTCTGTTTCATTTACTTATTCTGATATTGCTGTGTATAGTTATCTCAGCTTGAATATTCTGTTTTTTCCTCAGTCCTTTTTTGGTTTTGTTTTTTTTTGGTTTTCAGTGTTTGAGTTTCTATTCTCATATCCCCAAGCTTAGTGATTCTTTTCTCAGCCATATTCATTGTACTAATCAGCAAATCAAAGGTACTCATATGTCACTCTGACATAGTATTTCTGATCTCTAGAATTTATTTTTCATTCTTAGAATTTATTTCTTTCTGCTTATATTATACATCTGTTGTTGTCTAGTTTTTTTCAATTAAAACTGCTAGCATATTAATCATCATTTTAACAAATTTCCAGTCTGATTATTATTCCAGCAATCCTACCTACAGTAACTGACGCTGGTTTTGATGTTTATCTAATCTCTTCAAATTGTATTTTTCTTTTCTTTTTCGTGTGTGTGTTTTGTTTTTGCCCTTTAGTATGCTTTGTGATTTTCTTTGTTTTGGTTTGGTTTAGGGATATTTTTGTCAAAAAAATATAGTCATATACTGCAGCTGAGCATGGCGGCACACACTTGTAATCCTAGCCCTCTGGGAGGCTGAGGCAAGAAGCATCAAATTTGAGCCTAACCTGGCAATTTAGTGAGACCCTGTTTCAAAATAAACAAATTTTAAAAATGGCTGGGGATCTAGCTCAGTTCAGTGGCTATTCCCAGTTCAATGGCTATTCCCAACGTAACATTAAAAAAAAAAAAGATTTACTAAGTTAACGGAATTTAAAGAGCCCTTTGATAATGTAGGGTAGAGAGGGAGAAGACGGGGAGGTATTCTAGAGTCTCATTACTATTAAGTTTCAGTCTTTTGGTGATTCTATGCCCTATGACTGTAGACTTTACAAGTGTTTCTCATTTCTTCCCCTTCAAGTGAAAAACAATGGCTATGTGGAACTTGACCTAAGTGTCATGGTTTATGTCTGTGTCCCCCAGGCCTCATGAGTTTGCATTGAGCTTTTGTGATTGTTTCATTGTCTACTGCTTGGATTGATGGTGTCAGTGCTCCACCCACATAGGGGTGGAGCCAGGATGTGATGTAATGGCAGGAAGGAGGTGTGTCTTGCTCTTTGCTGGTTCCTGCTTGCTGTCTGCAGCTGCCATGAACTGCGGCCCAGCCATGCCCGCCTGCTTTGGAGCCAACTGAGTGTGGACTGAAACCTCCAAAAACTGTAAAAAATAAATCTTTTCCTTCCCAACTTGGGCTTCAGGTATTTTGTCTCAGCAACGAGTAAAAAGTAACTAAGACACTAAGTATCTCCCTTTCCCCAGGAAGATTTGACACTGATGAAGCCTCAGTGGGTTAGACTGGTAAAATAGTTTCTCCTAAGAAAAGACGCTGCCAAGAACAGAAAGCTATGGAGTTCTTCCAAATGATCACTTTTCTTCTCCATTTCAAACCAGGAACATGACTGGATTTTTCTCAAGTATTCACTGTGAAGTCTTCATAAGCATGTATGTAAACTCTGTAAAAATGTGAGCACTTCCATATGACTATCTTCCCCTGGGATTTTTAACTCTGAAAATTGTCTATACAGTCTCCAGAAAATTCATCAATTACATATTAGATTGTCTTACCTGGGCACTGGTTCTTATGAAGATTTCTCTTGAGGGTTTCTGCTCTGACATGTGATGCTTTAAATCCTCTGATGTTGGGAGCAGTAGTTTAAAACTTCAGTTCTCTGATAATCTAAGAAGAGTTGCCAATTTTTCATTTTTTTTTCAGCTTTTTACATGTTGTTAGGACAATATCTCCTTAAAATCAGAAATTAAAAGCATTGCTTTTTTTTCCCAGAAGTTTGGAAAAGCAGGAAACATCTATTGCTTTATATTTCTTCTATTTATAAAATATGACAGTAACTATTTTAAGTGCTTTATAAACATAAAACTATTTTATCAAAAATGACTTCACAAAAATAGTTCAATTTATGGTTGGAGAAATAGTGTTAGAAAAGTTAACTAAGAGAATACAGGATTAAACTCAATTTGATTTAATTAAATTGAAGTTCTCATTCTCCAAGTTCTTTTTCCTGCTTGGGGTGGGGAGAGATCTGGGAATCCTATTTGGAGACCATTGGGGAGGAACTTTCTGATCTTTGTCCTTGCTGATGAGCACCTGGTCCAAGCCCATTCATTTCTGGAACATAAGCAGCACTACGTGCATGTGTCTCCTGAGTGGGCCTAAAGTTTATTAAAGACTGGCATAGTAGTATAAATATGAAATTTCATATTTTTCCATCATTATTTCCAATTGAGCTTATTACATTCTCTCCCTTGTTCCTTAATGATATGGTGTGCAGATTTTATAAATCTCAAGCAATTTAGATTATTAAAAGTCCAATTCAAGGTGAGTGTTACAGTATATGCAATCCCAACACGCTGGAGGCTGAGACAGGAAGATAAATTCAAGACCAACCTGGCTGCATAGCAAGAGCTTGTCTCAAAAATAATGAATCCAGTCTAGTTTCAAGCCTAGCTCAAAGGAGCTCTCAAAATTCAGTTCTTGTCTTTTTTTAAATGCAGACTGGGTGAGAACCTTGAGGAACCTGAAGTGTGTGGCTCTGAAGCATCTCCAGCCCCTTGCTTGAGGCTGACTCTCTAATGGGAGAGTGGCACAGCACTACAGGGTCTTACACCTTATTCTGATTTAGGCTGGTTTTAGGTGGTAGCACCCGGTGGTGATGATGGAAGTCATTTTCTTGGGGTGGTGTTTGGCTTCACCCCAGCTCTTCTGTCTCTAAGACTATCATGATGAGAAGCCCCATCTGGAATCCATGCCTTTAGCCACATCTCTAAGGCAGTGCTTGGCCAGATGCCGCAGCTACCTACCAGGGTTCCCTGCCCTGGCCCTTCCTCTAACTTTAACCTCTTTCCTGGTAACCTTGGTTAGCACTCGGGTCTTTCTCTATTTCTCCATGGCCTCCAGACTCCTCTAAGAAATGCGGGTGGATTTCACTTTGTTCTTTCCAGGTTTGTTCTACTGTTCTCCACACTTCCTGAAGAGCAGTAGCATTAATTTCTGTGATTCAGTTTGATCCTCACTTTCAGGTTCTCAGAAGTTCTCCCTCAGAACCCCTCATTCAGCTCCAGCAGCAGCTTCTAGGGGGACAATGGCAGCCCAGATGGCAAGGTACAGTTTTCTGACTGCAGACATTCCTGTTTCTACAAGAGTATCTTACAGCCTCCCCCAGTTAGGCCAGGAGGTGGGTGCAGAATGCATTTCCTTTCCCTGCCACAGGGATGAGGGGACTTTTATAGTCACCTACTACACTCTCAGGCTGAGGAAACTGGTGATTTCTTTACTTCTCCTTGGTCCTTTCTTTCAGGAAGAATGGCTGGTAGAAGAAACTTTTGAGAATGATGCTGAGACCTCTTCGGAAACTTGGAGAAGGGGCAGCTGAAAATCAGAGTCATGTGATCTTCCTTCAGGATGGCCCGTATATAGTTTCTCTTGTTTTCAGCTCTTGTTCCCAATGACAGGGTAGAAGGAAGTCTCTCTGGACCTCTCTGAGAGCATGGCCAGTGCTGCTTCTCTCTGCCCACTTTTAAGGAACAGTCAGAGTTACTCTGCTTACCTGGCACTGTTACCCCAAAGCCCACTGAGGGTATTTCTTCCAAAAGGGAGGAATGCAGGATGCGTTCTCTACAGGTTTTGAAAGAAAGAGAAAGAAACAGAATGGAAATTGAGCACTTTATTACTGTCCTTTTAACATGCATTCCCATATTTGTACTTGATAATTCTATGAGTAAATACAGACTTTGTAACTGAGGCCACTACATTGCCCAGTTTTCTAATACTAACCCATGTGAAGTCTCTCTTTTTCTAACACAGCCTGTTAGACTGTGGACCCCTGAATTCCAGAGAGAGTCAAGGAAGACATGACTTAGCATAAGATGACTTTTATTTTATTGGCACATCCTGTTATTAAAACTTCTTTATTGACACTAAACACTTTGTGACTGTGTATCTTATCTCCATAGCACAATGATGATTTCTATGAAATCCAGAACACGTTGATCGTTCATTCCTCCTATAGCTGTTACAGCAGCACCTTATGAACTTATGTGGAAGGTTTATAATATGTGTTGAACAAAGAAATGACTGACTAGGAAACAAAAAATATGTGAGTCCCATAACTGGATCACAACACTAGCACAATTAGAAGAGAAAGTAGTCAATAAACTATTGTGAAATTAAGTAAATTGTACAGTGTCTTATGTATGTGGTAGGTTTATGTCAAAAGTGAGTGTCAGAGGACACACATACAGATTTCACTGAAAAATAGATCTTGAACACCGAGATATAGGAACAAACCAGGTACAGCTTTAACAGAAGTTAAATCAAATATTTTGGGCTTTAGTAGTGGAGCTTTGCTTAGCATGGATGAGGCCTTTGGTTCAATCCTCTGGACTATAAAATGATAGTAATGTTTGGTATTACATGTATATTACTGTCAAAAGTTTTACAGACTAACCTGTTTCTTTCCAGTGTTTTCAACTGAACTATTGGTCTTACAGTAACAAACAAGTTATGATTCCTGAAGCATTTGTTCAGTGCTGAGTATAACTCAGCCATTTCAAACCTTCTTTTGTGAAGGATGATTATAAAATAATGAGACTCTATGTAAGAATTATAGAATCTATTTTTGTGTTGTACAGCCACACATCATATTTTCAAAAGATTTTTCTTTTAAATTCAAAGCAAAGGCAAAGGGTCGATATTCAATCACTTTGTGTGGAATGTGATGAAGATTTGAGATCGCTAAGGTCTGGAATAGTTTGATGACAATAAGTCAATAAATCTTATTTATTCATTCAACAAACATCTATTATATATTTATTTGGCACTGAAATATAAAGATAAAAGATGTAATTCCTTTCTTCAAATTATTTCATTTACCTGGAACTCAGTTGGCAAATAGTTTCGATGCCATGTGTTAAGTGTGATGGTAGAGGTAAGTGGCACTGTCAGTCTGGGTGAAGCCTAATTCTGACTTTGGGGTGTCATGAAAGGATTTCTTGAGGAGGAATGGATTAGGAGTTGTTTGAAGGAGGATTTATTTGCTAGTAAAGGAGACAAAGTATAGCTGGGCACAAGAGGAAGACATCTGAAAGAAGACCATTATGTGATGTGATGATGAGATTTCTTTCCCCAAAGCTGGCCAGAGCAATAGGGAAAAGATCAAAGAAGAAAATAAGAAGCCTTGTGCTTCCAGGAGGGCCATCTTCCTAACCGTAGTCTTCCTGGACACAATAGTTTGTCGCATTCCAGGATAACTCACGCCCTAAAGGGCTAGAAAAGTTAGTCACAATAATTCAGGGACCAGAAGCAAATTAGAAAGCTGTCAGACCCAAGAGTTATGTTCATCTCTGTGAAGTTCTAATTTCTTACAAAGAGAATTAGGTCTAGATACTCACTGTTTAGGACTGCTTTATGGCTGTAATGGATGGCATATGAAATGGCTTGTGTTGTGGCTCAGTCTGCAGTTTAGCAGTGTTCAGAGGTGGGGAATTTGGAAAATGAATGTATCATGTGAACTTTAATATTATCATTGGATTAATCCATTGATGAGTTTGTGATTTGATTGGTATTATTTGAAGATGACAGGAAGTGAAACTTAGGAAGTAGAGCTAGTTGAAGGGAGGTGTACTCTTCGGGATGATATCTTGCTCCTGACTCCTTCCTGTCTCCCTCTGACCCCTCTTCCTGGATGCCACCAGTTGAGCAACTTTGCTCCACAGCGCCTTTCCCCTACGGTATTCTACTTCACCACAGGCACAGACAAGACAGAATCAACTAACCATGGCGTAAAACCTGTGAAACCATGAACCAAAATGAACACATCTGGCTTTCAGTTTTTATTTTGTCACAGCAGTGAAAAGTTGACCACCACCATGACCAAGGTGTAATTCTCCAGAGATTAGAGCTTTTTAAACAAGTGAGGAGGTGCTATATAGCATTTCCATTGGACATAACCTATAAATGAGTCATGAAAAAAATTAGTGAACTTGTTCAAAACTTAGGGGGTGGAAAGAAATGATCCAAATGAATTCAAAGATTTCAAAATTTATAAAATTCATAGATTTCAAAATTTATGCACATCACAGTATGTATTTCTGTTTTAGTTATTAGCCTGTGTGTTTATGAGCATGCTGAATTATCATGTAAAATGTGTTTCTATTATCCTTATAGTGAAACATTTGGTAAATGATGCCTTACAGGTATCTAAGGCTTGATTATTTGGGGTAGAAAACTTCCTTAAACCTAGAGAGCCACCATGTGCTGAGTGGTACAAAATAAAGACCTCCATAGCAAATTCTAAATAGCTGTGCAGCCGCAGAACCTTTCTCACAACCTGGTAGGGCCCCACCCAACATTCTCAAACAGTCTGGGACCTTTGGTTTGTCACTTGGGTCCTGCTTGAGCCCCATCCAGTGACCCCAACCCAGTAACTTCAGTGGGCTGGATGATGCAAGCTGAAGGCCTGCACAGTGAACTCCACCAAGCCGTGCAGTTTTAGGATATTGTGCGGAACCTGGTAGGCCCTACCCAGAGACCCTAAGAAGTTGGGGAGCTTTGGTGTGCTGCGTGGCATGAGCTGCAGGCCTGCACAGTATATTCCATCTACTGTTCAGCCTTGGTACACCACTCAGAACCTGGTAGAGCCCTGTACAGTGACCTCAAGCAGCTGAGGAACTTTGGTGAGCCATGTGGGGTGTGCTGAAGGTTTATCCAGCATACTCCTTCCATTTAAGAATCTTAAGTGCCACTAGGGACCCAGTAAGGGCTGCCTATCACTCCCCCACTCAACTGGGAAACTACTTGCAGTATAGTCAGCCATTCTTAATCCAAGAAACAACTGAGACTTTGCATTCAACTACCCCATGGAAATACAGGAAAATGACAAAACAAAAGAGCAAAATGCAATCTCAGACTTCCAGCCCATCCCAAACAAGCCTAGGAGACATGGAAATAGAAGAAAATATAAGTCATATACCTGAAACTTCTGAAATGATAGCAACTAAAGTAAAGAAATGACTTCCTGAATCTATAAAGGAACTCAAATCAGAAATAATCTCCCAGGGAAAACAAGAAATGATAAATGTAATGAAAGAAACGTTGAACACATCTAAAGAAAACATAGTTTAAAAAGTAGAGGAACAGCAAAACAATTGAAGCCTTGAATGAACAATATAAGAAAGAACTAGCAGGGGCTGGGGTTTAGATTAATAGGTATAAATGACAAAGAAAGTGGCAACACAAATGATATCAAAAGACTATTTATAGAAATCAATAGCTGAAAATTTTCCAAACATGGGAAAGAAAACTTACATACAGATAGGTGAAGCATATTGAACTCCAATTAGCCATAACCAAAATAAATCTACACCCAGACATATAATAATCAAAACCCCAGAGATTCAACCTAAGAACAGAACATTAAAAGCTATTAGAGAAAAGAAACAAATCACCTATAAAGCAAAGCCATTCAGAATGACAGCATCTCAACACAAACAAGGAAGCCAAGAAGAGGATGGAGCGAAGAATTTCAAATCCAAAAGGAAAATGACTTCCAACCCAGACTGATGTATCCTGAAAAACTATTCTTCAAAATCAATGGGGAAATAAGATATGCCATGATAAAGAACAGCTGAAGAACTTCATGACCACCAAACCAACCCTGAAAAGAACACTAAAATATATTCTAGATAGACACAAAAATAACTACAACTTTAAGAACACCAACAGAAAAATAAACACATTTTCATTTCTTTCCTTCCTCACCCCTGTTTCCACTCACACTCCTAGTGACGGATAGGAATCATCTGTCCTTCACTTTTCCCCATGCTGGCTGGAGGGAGTGTAGCTCAGTCAGCTGCTCTCTGCCCCTGTCCATCATTTTGCTTTGCCCCCGTCCCTAAATGGACTGGGACAGGATTCTAGGAGGATGGTGGAATAGTAAGCAGCAGAGTAAATAGCCTCTCTGAGAGAAACAGCCCAGATGCTGGAACATAGCATTCTGCAGAAGACCAGAAGGAAAGAAATGGGTCCCCTCAACCCAGAAAGAAACTAAAGTGAGAATTGAAACCCCCAGAAAGAATTAAAAAAAAAAAAAAAAAACAGAAGGTGGTAGCCAGAAGTGCCCTCACCAGAGTCAGTCTCACTGTGTGAGAAGCGCCACTGGAATCTGGAGACACATGGTGAAGTGGGTGGCTGACATGCCTGAAGGCCTCAACAGGGAGACACAGTGACAGAGGGGAGCAGTGGACCAGAGAACTGCACTGTCCAGCAGTGAGTGTGGGGGACGCAGTCCTCCCATGGGAGTGGGTAATTGGCTGGGTGCCATTTTGGAGTCAAGCAGGATAAGCCTGGAACCAGAACTGCAGCTGGCTTCATTCAGCCACTCCTAGTGCAGAGCAAATTGATGAAAATTGCTTGGACTGAGTCCCCCCAGCTCCCATGCACAGTCCAATACCCAATGCCAAGGTTTTCCTAAAGCTATCCCTAACTAACCCCACCCACGTGGCACACACTATATGGTGAAGACTCCCTGTGTTTAACCAGCTCAAGAGGGAGGGCCCAGCCTGCCCTACCCCTGCTTATACTCCAGTAGTCACCAGCAGATTGGGGAAAGCAGCAAA